TTAACATAGCAAAGCTAGAAATTAACTACTAGAGCTAGAAAAATCATATAACAAAGCTAGAAGTGCATATCCAAACTAGATATCTTCATATCAAACTCACAAGTCCATGTCAAAGCTGGAAACTCTCAACTCAAGGCTGGAAAATATCAATCAAAGCTGGAAATTAATCCTAAAGCTGGAAATTTGACGATAGGAGCAAGATAACCTCATACTAAAGCTAAAATTTCATATCCAACCTCATATCAAAACTAACCATTCATATCAAGGTTGACCAATTCCAAAGCCGAAAATTGCAACCTACTAAGCAAAACCATGAATCTTGCATAAAACTTCTATATTTAAGTCATCTATCCAATAAAATGTAAGATAAGAAAGAGAAGAAAGTTGGTTAGCTTCATACCTTCAAACCCTCATAGGAAAATGCAAAACAAAGGTTGCCTATCCAAAATCACTCCACCTCAAGCTTCCTTGTCATCTTGTTGTACCTTTCTATTGATTGATTTAGGGTTTTAGGTTGATTTCTCTCCAAAGCAAGCAAGAATCAAGATGAAAAATTGAAGGCTTTCCTCTCTTTTTTCTTTCTCTATTTCGGCCAAGGAAGAAGGAGAATGAAGGGATTTTTGCTGAAAATTACAAGATAAAGACTAGAGAAGTTTTTGGTCAAAGTTGGCCTGATGACCAACACTTGTCATCCATCCATTTTTCCCCTTCTTTCTTTCTTTTTTTTTTTTCTTTTCCTCTCTCTTTTCTTTCTCTAAATTTGGCCAAAACCCTGGAAATGCAAGGGAGAAATAATAAAAGGAAAGTAAGGAAATTAATGAAGGAAAGGTCTTTGATCAAATGGTGTCTTCAACCGGTGACAAGTGGCGCGAGTTGGTTCAAACCTATCTCTTTGTTTTCCCTTGTTTGGTAACTTATGTTTCACTAATTCACTCTTAACCATAGTTATTAAACCCGGCCCAGAGAGGAATCCGGTGAAAGAGGTGGGTCAACGGGTTACTGGTTCAACCAGTGGGTGAGTGGTCAAACCGGTGGGTCACTACATATATTTAAATATTATGTTTTATAATTTTTGATATGGTTAAAACTATAATAAACTATGTTATAGTAAATACTCAATTAGTCCAATTTATTATAGAATCATTAATTCTTATAAGAATTAACAAAATCTAAATTTAATTAGTAATCCACCAAACTTCAAGTATAAAATTTTATGTAAGTGTAATTATCTAGTTTATTTACGAATTTTAAGTGCAAAAGGTTATTAAGAATAATATTTATTTTTAAAATTAATTGTGTAATATGTTATTTTTTAAATCCATTTCATAATTTATAGAATTTAGGGAATAATAAAATTTTATTAAAAGATTCCAAACAAATTTTGTTTTGAAGAAATAAAATAAGAATAAAAATCTAATATATAATATAGAAGGAGTAAATAAGCATTAAGTGAGTTGTTGGACTAGTGGTGAGTGCGCTTAACCTTTATACTTGAGGTCTGAGGTTCGAATCAGCATTGGAACATTTTCTAATCATTTTTATCCCAAAACCGGGTTCCTTACAAAACCGTCCCCGGGTCCGATTCAACCGGTTGAATCGCCGGTCCGTTGAAAAGTCAACAGGTTTCTTGCACAAACGATCCAATTACAAACCCAGCCCGGTTTCATGGCCAGTTCACCGGGTTGACCGGTTAAACCGCCGGGCCGGGCCGGGTTTAATAACTATGCTCTTAACACTTCCAATCACATATTCCCTCTAGTACCACACTTGTTCTCGTCCACCAAATATAACGCACACATCTCACTCGTCGGTCAAACCACCTTAATGTACTACAGAACTTAGCATGCACTAAAATATAAAAAAGGGAATGATAAAAATCTTAACTTAACCTTTAAATCATTGTCAAATTAAGGCTAGCAAATAAGAAAGTAAAGTAAAATTAAAAAAAGAAATATAAATTAATTTTTCAAAAATAGGAGAAAAGTTAAAATAATTTTCAGGTTCTTACACTATCTCCCTCTTAAGAAAATTTCGTCCTCGAAATTTTTACCTTCCATCGCCTCAAACGACTCTGGAGCCAGTTGCTTGTCTATGGCGTATACCCATGCTAGCACTATTGGTCTATTCCCTCTTTCATTAACTTGTTTAGGGGTAGTTCTATCTCCTTGTTGAGCATTATTTCCCCGTTGCTGCTTTCTCGGGCAATTGCAAAAATTTATGGTCAGTACTTCCACAAAATTTATGGTTGGTACTAAAATTTATGGTGGGTAAAATTTATGCTTCCTCGGGCATTTGCGATGCTTTATTGTTGATGAGAAAGGACAGAAAGCAACTCTTGTCATATCTCACTTGGGGAAAGTCATTTCTTATGATCTAAATGATATGACCGTCAAGGAGCTTGTTGAAGGAGAGCCTGCAAAAGTTTATTTTGGCTAGAGGAATTCTGTGAAATATCAATGTACTGAGGCCTACCAGCATATTGAGATGTTAGCCTGTGTTTAATTGTTCTGCAACATGTTTATAGATTTGGCGAGTGACTTGATGATTTCTGCATTTGTCTACCTTCCAATACACTTTTGGGATGGAAACTTTGTTCAGTCTGGTGGCGATGATATTATCTTAGATTGAGACAACAACAGCAGAATCAGTAAGAATGGGTGTGATATCTTTAATGGAAGTTTACTTTTCAGGATGTTGGAATTGTAGTCCCTTTCTTATTCCCCTTGATTGCTGAAATTTCCAGATGCTTCTAGAAACTAGCATCACTGTCCAGGATATCTTGTTCTCCTTTTGGATGTTTTTAAGGGCTTTGGTGAAAATTTGCTTGTGGAAATTTCATGGTTTAGGTGCCTCCCTGTTTCCTCTCCTTCTGGATGATTGAGAATGCTTTTTTTGGTTGCAGAAAATTCTGCAAGTTTTTGGTTCTTGCATTGCTAGAAAGTCTGTTTTGATTTAGCCACAAATGCTACTTCATGATAGTTTACTGTTGACTGATGAAGTTTTGATCTGTTTTACAAAAACATGAAAAGTTCTGAACTAGACGTTTTAATGATTTACAATTGAACATTCCTCTGAACGTCTAATTGTAAGTTTCAATTGCTTAAAGTACTTATTGACTACTACACCAGAGGCTGTTTGCCTTAATTGTATTAGTCTTCTGAATTTTGACAGCAACAATTACAACTATACAGCAGGAATTTCGATGGTGGATATCTTACCTCCTTGTGACATCCCGGTGAACCATAACATGGAAGTTCAAGAAACTCCAGGATGCTTCACGCCCATAGTTGAATAGTGTTTATTGACTAGATAAATTGTATTTAGCACAAGTCCAAATCATCTGGTGTTTCTCCATGACTTTTTGCAGATCTGTCAGGTTTATTATCTAATGGTAGAGGTTGCGTGGTATCCAAAAGAATTCTTGAAAGTACTTAAGATTAGCTAGATGCAGTTTCTCCAGGTCACGGGGGGTTTTGGTATGACTGAAGTACAGCTAATATTGGATTTTTGAAAATGTAATATGGAAGTAAAAATAGATATTTTAGATATTTTTAACAAATAACAACTAGATTTGTGTATCTAATGGATTTTTGAAAATGTAGTATGCCTTTATGTTGCGAACAATCTTGATACGATCTCAACCCGCAATTTAGCGAATTAGCGAACCTAGAAATTTGGTAGAGCGGCGCCACAAACAAATACGATTCTTGTTTGATAAACCAAGATAAACTCTTAGGACGCTTCTAAGATGTTCAAGAGTGCTCACAAGAAGCCAAGAGAATCACTCTTAATTGTCAAGAAGCAAAATCTGTTTTTGTTATTGATGTGAAGCTATTTATAGCTTTACACAAGTCGAAACCCTAATAAGTCTAGCCTAGGGAAACCCATTAAATTCAGCCCACAAGGACTCTTCATGACCGAAATTAATAACTAAAATTATGACTAATATAACGACTAAAATGGCAAGACTACTTCACTTAAGTCACTTGCTTATTTTACTAATTCAAACGACAAAATTTGCTAACTACTTGAGAACTTGAACACGTGAGACTTGAATCAAGCTTGTAACTCGAAATGCTTCGTTTACGGGTCTTGATCCTCGAGTCAGAGTAAGGTCATGAACTCCGAGCTACCTTCAAACATCGAACTACCTTCTTTAGCCTCTTGTATCGCGCGAACCAAGACATTCAATTGCTCCTTCATCCTTTTGGCACGAGCTCGCATGATTGGTCCGGATGGTATCACCACACCCTCAATAGTAACTTGGATGATCATATCACGTATTCCTGGAACATTTGCATCTGTCTATGTCCACACTCAAAGCTTCATTAACATCTTTCCGCCATCTCCATTGAGTTAGCCTCTGCACCAATGTTGTAATCTGATAAAGGTCTGAAATTGTTCCAGGCTAACTGCTAGCATTGCCGAGAAGCTCTTATTCTAGCTAAAAGCCAAAAAAATGCATAAGATGATATGTTAGAAACAGATTACTAATTGTGACCTTCCTTGGTCACACACATGGGATCGACGGGTTAAATGAGGATTGCAATATTGCATACAACTTCAAAACTATTTCCAGAACCTCCTACTTGGTCTAGGTACTGAGAAGGCATGATATTTTTCTATTAAGTTGAAATCTCCATATTTTCTCCAATTTTTTTGTGGCAATTTCTTATGTTACGTGTATTTCCAATAAGATTTTTGGTTACAAAGGCCTTTTGAAGATCTGTCAAAGGATTCCTCTGCTGGAGAGCGAGCCCTTGCAAAGTTCTTGAATGCAATTTAAAGTTCGAAGAAGAAAGAATAATAGCTGTACTGAACTTGTCTTTCTGCTCCTGTTATTTGTTCCTCAGTGTAACTTTTGGTTTGAAATGAGCAAGTAGGTCAATTCTGCCTCATGAAATTCTCGTCGACATTCCAGAGAATCCAGACAAAGGTTAGCACTATGAAGTTTAGATCAAAATTGTTTTTTTTTTTCAGTTTTCTTTGAGCCTCAATCATAAGGAATGATGCTAGATCAAATAGAAATGCAAACCCTTTAACATTACATCCCACGAGATAATACTTCAAAAAATTTTATAGATCAGTGCCCGTCAAACTACATTTTTCTCTGCAAATAGTTTCTCCTCAAATCTCCAGCCAATCATGATAAATCAAATCACTTCGGGAGTATTTCACAAGTATTAACCTGCATGGAAAAACTTGGAATCAGAAAGGTATGAATCCTGTGAACTATGAAGCAATCAAATTCTGGAGAAGAGTGACTTCAATCTTTTAGTATGCACCAAAAAGTACATTGAGTACTATATTTGAGGAGGGAAGTGTAATTAACAATTAATAAAGTTTCATCCACTGAACAATTGTATGAAAGATAACCTACATTTGATTGACTTAATTAAGTTGTAAACAAGAACTAATACCAGAATAACTCTGACAGCTAGACAAAACAGAATTTGCACAGAAGAATAGGATGGGAAAAAATTGCTACGAGAGCTGGTCTGTCTTAAAAAATGCGTTAGTTCTACATTATGATTATATCCATTTATTTGGTTCCACGTTAATTCAAATCAAACATGGATTAGAAAACTTAGCTGTTTAAGTTTAGAAAATTCAGCACGAGCTTCAAAAACCAGTTAAAGTATCATGAATGATAAAAGATGGAACAGAAAGAAAATAAGCTGAAAAGCAGGTCGGCAACTGCATGGTGCTAATTCATATACATTTCTCCGGGAAAAAAAAATTGAGCATAATAAGAATACTCTTGTACAGGGATAGAAAACTTGTATCTAGATCTACAGACTTATACCTAGATCTACAGGTGTAGCAAAGTTATTCAAGAAAAAATCATTTTATTGGTATCTTGTTAGGGCTAAGACAAGGGTTTTACAGGGTAGGTATTCTGGTTTCTTAAGTTGATACTAAAAACAGATTTGTTGTGAGTCCATGATGGGAGGATATGCATAACCACTTGAATAACTCTAGAGGTAATTTCTGTATTTTCAAATAAGTCTACATCAAAGAAATGGTCATCTGCCCACATTCACTTACAAGTAAGAAGAAGCAGCAGCTGATTATCTGGAATTCTTTTAAGAACAGATGAGTCGAAGATCGCCATTTCCCATATCTTTTTGCTCTTCATAAATTGTCTGGGCTGACTTCTCAACACTGGGACAGCAGCCTCGTATCTTGATCATTTTCAAGGTGGAGATGTCAGCAAAAGAAGAGGGGATCTCCTTAAGCTTGGTACAGTCTGTCAAGACAAGATTCTCAAGACTAGGGAAAGGCTCGTCAGGCACAGCCCAGCTTTCAAATTCTGAATGATGCATAGCAAGGAATTTGAGATTTAAGAATTCCCCATCTTTCACATACAATATGTGCTTTGCAAAGTCTATATTCCGTAGTTTGAGAACCACTAGATTAGGCAGCTGCCCAATTGCTGATATTGCAGCCGTTGGTAGGAAACATTTGAACAAAGTCAACTTTTTAAGAACTTTTGGAAACTCAAATGCCGGTATTTTAGGAGTAGAAAATTCAGTACCCACCATACAGCTTAAATCCAGTGCCTCCAATTCACTTAGGATGCTGAAATCTAGAACTTTGCAGCTTCCAACTTGATGCTTACCGGACTCTGGAATTATACAACTAAGCTTGCGAAGTCTTGGTAACCGTCTCAGCAGTATCTCTGTATCTCTTCCATGACAAAGTACTGTTGAAAAAGTATGCACATTCTCTAATTGAAAAAGCTCCTCAAACTCGTAATCACCCAAAGAGACATTAGCAAAAGCACGAGCATTTACATGCCTTAAACTTTTCATCTGCCAAATGGTGTCTGGTAGATCAATACTCCAAGGAAGTCGCCGTATCACAATTAGAGTTTCCAAGTTCCAGAGGTTGGCTATTGATGATGGAAGCCTTCTAATTGAACCAGAAATTGCTAAGTACCTTAAATGTACTAGTAACATCAGGGCGTCAAGATCAGAACCTTTCAAGTATAACCTCTCCATATCCAACACTTTAAGAAGCCTAAAGGTTCTGAAAAAGCAATAGTCAACAAACTCCATCACATAAGCAAAAATTATAGAATGGACAGGTGAGAAAATACGATGTGAATCAGCAAAATAAAACAATGAACCGTGAAAGCATAGCCGATGCATGTCAATATCACGGCCATCGGAGGGATCTTTATCAAAATCATACTGATAAATTAACTGTAAAAATTTCTCTTCTTTAGCTTTCGTGACGCAAAATTCATGCAAGAGATTGTGAACCTGACAGCCTTTGATCCCACCATCAGAACTTCTTTCACTGACAATTACAAGGCTATGATTAATCAGATCCATCAAGCACTCCATAGCCACATCTTCCAACCTCCTTTGATCTGTTCTTCCTATAAATCCTTCTGAAATCCACAATAGGGTCATCTTTCGGGCTCTGATCTTTTGACCGCCTGAAAATGCTCCCAAATAAAGAAAGCATGGTTTTAGATGATCTGGTAGATGTTTGTAGCTTAACTCCAGTATGTCCATGGATCCTTCAGTTGGATGGCTTGAACTCAGACTAAAAGCAATTTGTTTCCACCAATATAGACTATTCTTTGACCTTGCAAGGATTCCAGCAACCAAAACAATTGACAAAGGTAGTCCCTTGCACTTTCTTGCAATTTCCATGCCAACTTCAACTAAATCTTGTGGACATTCATCTTTATGGAATGTTTTCTGTTTCAATAACTGCCAGCATTCCTCCTCATGAAATGGCCGGAGAGTATGAAAGTAGCACTTGCATTCATCTTGCCAAGATAACTTCTGAATTCGGCTAGTGAACAGAATTCTGCTTCCGTTGTTGTTATCAGGAAATGATCCCTTTAATTCACTCCAAGGTCGAATATCCCAGATATCATCCATAACTATAAGATAACTTCGTCCAATTAAACATTTTCTAAGCCGATTTGCAAGTTCGTCATTACTCATTTCAGAAGAATCATGTCTAGAAAGCTCAGTGACATTACATAACATTTCAAGCAATGCACTTCTATACTCATACTCTTGAGACACACAGCACCAGACACATTGAATAAAGTGATAACAGATTGATGGATGGTTGTAAACTTTCTTGGCTAAAGTTGTCTTACCTTGGCCAGGCATTCCAATAATCGAAACTATTTCAAGTTGTTCTGATCCTCTTGTAAGTCGATTGATTATGGTTTCTGCCTCATCATCAAATCCTATAACAGCTTCATCAATTCTTGAGTTACTAGCTTGTGCCGCAAAGGGATGCATGGAGTTCATATTTGCAATGAGGATCCCAGGTTTTTTCATATGCTTATTTCCAATATTCTCAATCTCAGTCTTGGTGATCTTAATTTCTTGAATGACTGTTGAAAGACATATTATGGAATACCAGAAACAACTACAACTGATTAAAGACAAGTCAGTGACATGCTCTGCATGGTATGCCACATTGATGGTTCTTCTCCAAAGATCTTTCAGCTCCTCGTGCTCATTTTGACCATCCATTTTATCCGTGAGGAATGTCCTCAATGACTGCAGCTCCTCCTGAACCATCACAACTTTATGCTTCACAAAAGGTACAAATTTGCAATTTTGTTTCAGCATTTTCTTCAGATTTTCCAAGATGAAATCAATATATCCTATGCCATGAGTCCTGAGAGAATAAAACTCTGACGCCCCTGGAATGTAGACATAGAACTTTTTGACCACTTCCAGGAATCTCTCAATCTTTCCTATGACTTCAAACAAAAGAAATTTTTTTTCTTCGACGACATTTTCATTCATTTCCTCCAAAAAGATTGAGTAAAAGAGAGATGCAGCCTCAGTTACAATGGCGTCAGCTTGCGTCAAAAGTTTATCCCCATCATCTTCACAGTCCTCTGGTGAATCCACGAGAAATGCAATGATGATTATGAGCCCTTCTCGAATGATCTCAATGCGGTCTATGAAAACGGCAGGAAGATTTTCTAGCAGAAAGTTGACAAAGTCTGCAACAATTTCAGCCACCAATAAAGTGTCACATGCTGACACCTTTAAAGCTTTGAGGACTTCAAGATACATCCCTGTAATTCCTGGAGCACAAGGCCAAATCTCCTTGTGTAGATCAGAAAGCATGATATTTATTCTGCACTGCATGTTTTCATCATTTTTATTTACCCAGCACAAAAATGATAGCCATGCTACTTTATTAGCGCAAGAATGAAGATGAACCAATGAATCTTCGAATTTCTGATGCTCATAGCAACGTTTCACGGTGAAATCAATGAACTTTCTAATGAGCCTTAGTTTCTCTTCAAGCGCTCTAGTTTGCTTATACACTGAAGCGATCTGTTCATCTTCTGTGTCACTAAGGTCCTTAAGATTCATGATGATAAAGTCCATGAAATCATAGATCTCCACCGTCGTGGAAGATTTGATGGAATTTAACAAAAAATTAAGCAAAAAATTGCAATTCTTTCTAATTTCTGACTTAAACTGCTCAACATTTTTCAGCAAATTAGAAGTTAGGAGACGCCAATTTCTATCCCTTCTTGTCCGAATTGCCCATAGACCGGCTGAGTAAAGGCGCTTATTTGCTACTTCTACTGCAGAACTAATGGTATTAATAGCAAAATTCAACTCAACATTCTTACCAGCTTCTTCAAACTTGAGCCAGCACCAGGAAAACATCTTGAGGAAATTTAACTCCATTTGAAGCTTTTGGTTTTGATCCTTCATTGGATCAGTCAAGCTTGGTTCGTCTCCCAGGCGTGCCAACTGTTCTGTGGTGGAAACAAGAACAGCAAGAAAACTACTATTTACCATTTTCTACCCCTTATTTCGTTCTCAGATCTTTCTTCACAACAGCAAAACAAGATGATTCAGGGAAACTCAATGTGAATAACTATTTGGTACCTTCTTTATCATTAATCCTGACTTCCAAGTCCACCATCCAAGCAATATTTTACTTTAAAGCTACTTAGTGCCAGTGCTTTCTGTTAAAGTAAAGAAACTAGTAATAGTATGGTCATTGAATATTACAGGTTGACATCTGATGCTTGCTCCGGGACCTCGTAAACAAAGCTCCCGTGACTTTCCTGTAGCTTTCTTGAATACACATATAGCTTCGTGCCTTCAACCTCTGTTGCCTCGAAATAAAAAAAAACCTCTGTTTACCTCATTAAATTGATAATTTGATAGTAAAAATAAAAGAGATTTTCTAACGAGGATCTAGTGTCCTGGCTGCCAAATAGGGTTCGAACCTATGTTTTCAGAACCGGACCGGGTATCGACTCAGCCGAGGTCAGGGGTCAGGGATCAATGGGTTCGACCGGGGGTTGATAGGGGTCGAACCGGATGACGTCATAAATAAAAATTATTTAAAAATTAAAATATTATATATAAAATATCTAATATTATGTTAATATTAATAAAGGTATATTCATATATATTTGATGTTTCAAATATATTTAACAAGAAAATACAAAGAAATTAGAACAATCAAGTAGCAATTTATGTTATTTAATAAATATTAACAAGTTTAGAATTAAAATTATGAATTTAATTGAAAAATAACATCAAATTTTAGGACAATATTTATAAAGTATGAAATATTTGAGGTATATTAATAAGTTTTAACAATTTAGGGGGCCAAAACATAATATTGAAAAGATTGAGTTTTTTTAAAAAAAATGTCCATTGAACCGGAAAAACCGGTTTTTGACCGGCTTTGACCGGGCTTTAAATTTCCGGTTTTGGGACCCACTAGTGCGAAAAGTTCGGAAAAATTCGGCCAATAAGGTTAAGTTTCGGATACTGTGTAAAATTTATCGGGTGTTAAGAGATAAGTAGAGTGTGTGAAATGATTGATGTGAGAGAGAAAAGAAAGGATAGGATTGCATTTATGAGAGTGACAAGTGTCACTTCCTTATTGGATTGAACTTAAGAAACACTATTCACATTTTTGAGTTTTTTTACCAAAGGATTAAATATCTCAAAAATCATTCAAAATTCACCATTTTTCTTTCTCCATAGCCGGCTCTCTCTCTCTCCCTTGCAAGAAGGAGAAAAAAACCTCTTCAATCTTCAAGCTTTCCACTAGCAAATCATCTCAATCAAGCACATAAATTAGTTTCCTTTCCATACAACTTTTCTAGTTGGTGATAGTGGGTGGTTTAGTGAAGTTTTTTGGAAGAGCTAAGGTGTCCATCATCTTCCTCTCTCTTGTTATTAGGTGAGTGATGCTTAAACTTCCCTCCTATACTTAATGATGGTTATTTTGTGCCTAATGGTGGCTTGAGTAATAGAATATGTGATTTATTTCTTGATTTGAAGAGTTTTGGTGAAGTTTTCCATTTTATGATGATTTTTCTGGTTTAATTGGATTATGATGGTGTGGTTGTTTATGATGATTGGTAATGGTCTATATAGGCTCTAGTAGGTGCAAATTAGTGATAAATGCAATCAATTTTGGATTTGGAAGAATTTCTGGAAAATTAGGGTTCTTGGTTGAACATTCTGTCCGAAATTTTAGGTCATAGATAGAGGCCGAATTGGACTTTGCTCAAAACATGAAAGTTGTAGGTATTGATGAGTTTGAAGTGCCTGCAAAATTTCAGGGCATTTGGAGTAGTATAGAGTGAGTTATGCCGTTTTTACTGTTGCTGTTTTTGGTGAACAGAATGTCCGAACTGCGATAGTAATTGTCTGTTTTGACTGGAATTGGTTTGGATTTGTTGTTTGTGTCTTCTGATGAAATGTAGCTTGATGTCTTAGCTTTCATATGCCTTTGGAATCAATGTTTTTGGTCCTGTATAGACTGACTTGGACTGATTACAGTTTTGTGTGATTTGGGAACCTGCAATTACGGTTTTGGGTTGGTTTTCTGCATTTTGACTTAGTTGTTCTAGGATTTGGATTGAGAGGCCTTCTACATTGTTGTAGCCCCTTAAGTCCTGGATATCCCTGTAAATTTTCAGGATTAACGGAGTGGTATAACCTGAGTTATAAACGAAATACTCAGACCTGTTTTGACCATCAAATTCTGTTCTGTTCTTATATACGGACAGTTTACGACTGGAACTTTGGCTTCACGTTTGACTAGGTTACAAGCTGTTTGGGCTTGCGACCAAAACACCAAACTTATAGCTCTATATTAGAGCTTTCTAACGCCCTTGGAATTTCATGAATCGGATTTATAGAACCTGAGATATAGCCGAGCAAATAAGGCCTGCCCGTGAAAATGACCATTTTCTGGTCAGATCTGTTTTGGTCCTGACGACCAACTTCCGTTCCGAATTTGGATTGCCGACCTTCATGAAAGTTGTTCCATTTGGAATGAACTATCTAACTGCCAATTTTCAGCTCTTTTGCCCATGTGTAGCATAGAAAACAGTTTGCACTCAAAACTGACCATTTGTGCATTGGCCAGATTTCGTATGTGATTGTGTTTGGTTCATTTGGGGCTGAAGCCTCCAGTTTCAGTTCTGGATGTCTTCATAATAATTGTTGTTCATCCTTTAAGCTTCGATATGGTGTCTCATACGCCTTAATCCGATATTCGTAGCTCAACTTATGAGTAAACTAGAAACGAGTGTCAAATCTGCCGTTTCCGCTAACGGCCGTTTCCGTTTCCGTCCGTCATATTTACGTGCGCGCATGTCGTGTTTGCCGTTTTGCTTGTTTTAGGTACGATAGTAGCCGTTTGCGATATTATGTGACACAATCTTCTATTTCAGACGGTGGTGAGCTGGGCGGAACTGGTGGAGCCCACTACTAGTTGTTCATTTCGATCCGACTTCGTACTTTTGCTATTTCAGTTTCTGAGTAAGTATTCAGGCCAGTTTGGTGTGTTTTCTTTGCTATGTGTTTGAGATATGTGAAAAGGGTACTTAGGCGGGGGTGTACTTTATCGCACTCGACCTAAACCCTAATTTGAATGTATAATTGTACTTGGCATATGTATATGAACCTTTTGGAACCAAAACCCTTGAGCTTGTGGCTCGGGGCGACTTTCGAGTAAAGTTTGTGAAGTTTGCAAAGTTTGTGAGTTCGTGGGCCCGATCTAAGACCTGTATGGACTATTCGAGCCGGTTAGGGCTTGGTCGAAGTCAGTCCAACTTAGTCTGAGGTCACCAAGTTTGTAGGTTCATGTTATGAACCAATTTTGTGAATCCAGTTCACCGAGAAGGTTACCAAGTTTGTGAACCGAGCTTGCGCCGCAAGTTCAATTTCGTTCGCTCGGGCAAGTTTGTGAGGTGACTGGCCAGTGAGGGTGATAAGGTGTTGGTGGGTGTACAAGTGAAGTTCTACGGACCATTGAGTGTGGTCGACGGAGTGTCGGCAGGAGATCACGCATGGCATATGAATTGGCTTTGGAGCCACCTGTATCCTTATTATGTGATGTTACTTTTCTGCTTTTGCTTTACTCTTACTGTGTAACTGTTGTTACGTGAAATTTATGCTTTCGCCCCTGTTTACTTACTAAGCATATAGCTTACCCCTTTCCTTTTGTTTTCCTTAGCAGGGGCCGACGCGGGGACTTTTGGCTCGTACACTAGTATAGTTAGATTGGCTTGTAATAGTTGAACAGTTAGGATGTTTGTTTTAGTTTTGGTGGTTTGTATAAGGACCCTTCTTAGGGTCTATCTTCTGCTGGTTGTGGTTATAGTATATTAGAGTGGTTTGACTCGAGACTTTTGAGGATGTAAATGTAACTTTTGGGATTGTATATAGTGCTCTTTCGATTTATCTAGTTTTATTGCTTTAAGTTTTGAGTCCTGGCGCGAGCTAGGCAGGCGGCCCGCCGATACCCTTGGGTTCGCCCTTGGGAGAAGTGGGGTCGTCACAGACATGAACTCCAAAAAATTGATAGCCTCAGACAAACGAAAAGCCCTTCCTCCCTTCTTCTCCCCCGCCTCCACCACCACATTAAAATCCCCTCCCACCAGCCACGGCCCCTGAGAAGGCTTGTCTCGCAACAAACCGCTCCACAATTCCCGTCTCTCCTCCTCCGTGCACAATGCATGGGCAAAGGAGACAGTCACAGGGGTAGGGAAAGAACTATGGAAGGCGAGGAAGGAGAAATGTTGCTCCCCCTCCCTCACCAGTACCAGATTGAAAGGATCATTATAAAATAACCAAAGAGACCCAGAAGAATTGTAAACTACATGATCAAACCGGAGCTTTTGCCAAAAATCTTCAGCAAGCATGTAGTTAGCATGAGTTTCACAAAGCACAAGAAACTGAATATGATATTGCCTTACAAGTGTCCTGAGACGCCTAAAGTGAGAGGGTTTAGACAAACCTTTTATATTCCAGAAGAGAGCGTTAATCATGAGACAGCGCATAGAAGGAATTCTGTGACCTGGTCGTGGTAGACAGGAGTGTTCTATCTGATGGGGCGATAGAGCGATACCCCTTGTGCTTTCTAACCATCTGGAGTGAGTCATTCCGTGGACACTGGACCTCATCCGAAATGCATGGTAGCGCCACCTCCACAAAGGGTTGGCCCCGAGGAGAAAGATTGCCCGCCGTGGTGGGCAGCCGCACCACACTGCCCTCTTCCTCTTCCACGGCCACCTCACAAGGCACGATAACCCCTTCCCCAACCATCGGCAGTTGAACCTCCTCCTCAACCATCGCTTCATCACTACCCTCGGCAGCCTCCAAATTAGGTGCGATCAGCCGTGCTTCATCAAGCGATGAAGAGGGCGGCCTGCCCATCCCAGTCGAAGTGGGAAGAGGAAGCTGCCCCTCCTCCGCTGATCCCACCTCCGCATCAGCAGGGACACCGCCGCAACCATTACAGGACTGTCTTGCCCACTCTCCGAAGCTGGAACCCCATCTGGGCCATCAACCTGTCCATGGGCAATAGCGGCAATTGGGTCTCCCAGTTTTTGGGTCAACGCAGCCGCACCCACACCTCCTGCCTGCACCTCCGTAGCATCCCTGGTGTCCTTCACGCAAGCCACAAGACCTTCAACCTGTCCCTGGGTAGCAACGGCAATTGGGTCTCCA